ACCAACGAGCACGCAGATGAAAAAACTATCATGTGCTGAAAATGGTTCTAGTGACCGTAAGGAAGAAACTAAGAAGGGTGCCTTAACAAGGAGCAGGAAGAAGGCTGAAGGTACTGGAATTGAAAGCAATGGTGGCGAGACCAAAGAAGAAGCCGGTGATAGTCCTATTCTGCGCAGTGGCGGTTCACAAACTGACATGAAAGACCAAATTGATCACCCCTTTTCCACAAGAGAGAGGAAAAGGAGCAAGTACTTGTCCCCTCCCTTCATAAATCTAAGCACTGGAAAAAGGAGTCTAGACATAGAAGTGGAATCTCCGAAAGTTTATAATGAGAACCTAGTTGGGTCCCCGAAGATGCTGAATCCTTGCACGGAGACGTTACAGAAGAAAGACTCTACAGAACTTGGTCTTGGGAATGAGATATCTGGTGGCTCGAGTTCGAAAAAACCATCAGCAGATGAGAAGAAGAGCATTGATGAGATGAAAGCTAATGTATCTAATCGTAACGTGCTATCTGGAGTCCGCTCTGCAGCTGTTAATCCATCATCTCCAATCAAAAAGAAATCCTTTGAGATTGTTAAGGATTTTCTGTCCATATTCAGAGACTCGATTTATCGCAATGGATCCTACTACGACATATACAAGAAGAAGCAACCTGATAAGAAGAGAAAGAAGTTAGAATCTGAACCTGGCTCAATGGGGAAAGACCGAAATCAGACTGCAGAAAACCTGCCTGAAACTGAATCTGGGAAGAAGAGAATCAAGAAGAGCAGTGAGACATGGTCTGCTAAGCCTACACAAAAGCAAGCTACTGAGACACCAGGTTCAGAGCCTGGTAGTAAGCGAAAATCGAAGCATGCTTCTGGAACTCCGGATTTGAAGAAAAGGCGTAGAAAGACCGACGAAATAGCTTCACCTGCATCCCTTTTTGTGACATTTGGCCCTGGGTCCAATCTCCCCACAAAAGCTGATCTTATCAAGATTTATAGTAAGTTCGGAGAGCTGAACGAAATGGAAACTGAGATGTTCTACACCAATTTCTGCGCTCGTGTTTCCTTTGCAAGGCTAGCTGATGCAGAAGAAGCCTTCAACCATTCGCAAAATGACAGTCCGTTTGGAGCTTCCAACGTCAATTTCCGGCTTCATAATCTGGCAGCTGCTTCGAAGGTTCGTGAACTGAGTGAAATATCCAATTCTGCTCCTGCTAAGAAGTCCAGGGGCAAGACCAAAACCCAGGCATTAGCTTCACAGGCACCCGCTGCTGCTGGTGAGGCGTCGCAGATCGACTTAATCAAGCAGAAACTGGAGAAGATGACCTCAATGCTGGATGATTCAAATGGCCAAGTTTCGGATGTCACGAAATCGAAACTGGAGAGCGAGATAAAAGAGCTGTTGGGGACGGTAAGCACGATGGTCTAATCGTCGTCGTAGATCAGCTTCCCTGCTAGGATATAGCTAGTGAGCGAATATGTAGGTTTAGGGAGAGATCTAAATACTTTCTTTTGGGATGCTTGTGGATGAAGTTAATACATCTACATGTAACAACTCTCGATATTTTGATTTCAATTTCAGCAGTTAATTCGATGTACATTTCAGTTTTCTTCGAGTCCCGACCGGAACGATACGCAAACTTTTGGGGAGATGCAGAAGCATCCTCGAAACATCAAATCTCCATTTGACAAAAGCAACAAATATGGAAAAGAGAGAGTATTAAGCTGAATGTAAGATGATGAACAAGAAAGCCCGAAAACGAGCCCCCAAACTAATTGCAATACAACGCAAAATATTCAAGTTTCATCGTACAATTAGTGTAATTCCCCCTGCATACGATTTGAAAGAACTAAAATTCACACGACAGAAGGGATACATGTAATTTATTCCCAGTTGGTATTTAGGTACAAGGGTCTGGTGCCGGGAAGTGTACTGACGGAATCAAAGAAACAAAACATACACATTCCGGTAGCATTCAGTCATCGACAGGATCCTGGGGTGTTTCCTCTGCACTGCGCTTGATTGTGATGACGGGACACTCAGCATGCTTCACGCAAAACTCGCTCACGGTCCCAACAAAAATCCTGCACAGCACAGAAAAAGGACGTCAGCAATCTAAGAAGACTAAGAACTGTGGATATCAGGCATGTCTGTGAAAGGTAAGGACTTAGAGATACCTCTGGAAAGGACCAAGACCCCGACAGCCCACCACCAGAAGGTCTGGCTGCACACGCCTCACCTCACGGCAGATTACTTCCTTGGCATCCCCTCTTTTGATCCATGCTTCACAAGCAACCTACGAGATTCCAATATGTAGGTGTTATCTTAAAATAGAGTATTCTTCAGATGCAATCAATTAAAGTCGCCCCCCAACACAAGTCAGTACCCCGATTGCATGACATCTGTCAACAAAGAACTCCAGCAGATGAAGCCCTCTAGCTCGGTCTCTGTTCTTCAAGTTTTTAAAATCCTCCGGCGATGCATAGACACTGTCCATGTCATCAAAACCTATTATAGAAAGAGGGAACATATTATTTTCAGTAACAATTAGTTTCCAGTTAATACATAGCAACGAAGATCAGTTAACATCACATCATTAATAAGAAGGATAAAGAATCAGACAGTTTTCAAGGCAACCAAAACGAAGCACTAAGCATGCTTAAATCAACAAGAATATACAGAAGCTCGACTATTGGACTATAAGTATAGTGATTGACATTGTCCACAGTTCATACAACAATGAATTCAGATCAATTCATGATCACAATTTCACTACGCTATGATGACCGTTGATACTAGAGGACCGCATCAACAATAATTATGATCATGATCATGATGTTCGGGTAACACAATGCCTTTTGAAACAACGAGAAATTACATGAAGTCACGATATCAAAGCCAACTTTGAGACACAATCATAAACAAACTTGAACAGAAAATAGTCCGATCTTGTAACGGATCAAACTCGAAATTGAACTTCAAATAATAAACAATATTCACCGCTTAAACGAACTAAAAAATTGAAAGGAATGATCAGAGTACTTAAGAATTTATCAAGCACCTTCATACTCAATGGCCTCCCGTTTGGTACCAAAACCTTAGCGATTATTAAACACAACGCCGATTAGGTCAAATCGACAATCATCACCTATGTAATTTCAATTTACAAACCAAATGACACTAACAAATTACTCAATTGCAAAGCCAATTTAGTACTCTCACACAGTCTGCGATCCCCTAACACTCCTTGATCAAATTATTTCACTATCTTCCAGCACAAATTTACAGTTACGGTTTCGATTTCCCTATCCTTTCATTTTCTCTTCAAATTCCTCCGTTTTCTCAGCAACCAAACAGAGCACAAGCGCAATTATAACAAGCAAAAACATAAAGGTAAAAGCAGAAAGAGAGAGTGATAGTGAGAGAGATGACCGTCTTCGTCGGGGACTTGGACGTGAAGGAACTGGAGCTTGAAGCCACTGGTGTTGGAGCGCACGATCTTCTGGAGCGTCCACTCGAACGCCTTCCTGCTGCTGATCGAGGCGTGCGGGTAGCCCTTGATGGTCGACTCGTTCACTCCCAGCATTATCCGAGTTGGCTCATTCGCCATCTTCGCTTCGCTCAACGAGTCGACTCGGAACTTTCTCGAACCTCACTCGCACTCTCTCTGATGAAGTCGGTAGATGAAGCAAGAATCGTTTCGTTTGTATGGGTTCGCAGCCGTAAGCCCGATTAGGCACAGCGCGCATCTAGGTGCAGGATAGCGTATATCCAATAGAAAGGTACTAACCTACGCCGTTCAGTTACCGACATGTGCCACGCGGCAGTATATAAAAGCGTGCGTCATAACATATGCCATGGTTTGCCAAAAATTTGGCGGGGTCTCCTTTTCTATTATGAAAAAGTAGATTTGAACGCAAACTTTTAAGCGTACGAGATAATGTTCTTAATCGACGGAATAATAAGCTATTTGCATTCTTCAATTTTCTTTACATTATCAAGTATAAGAATAACTTTATCATGACATGTTGTTTATATTAAAAAATCATTTCATAATTATTTATATGTTTCTAAGTATAAGTTTTTATGTCAAGTAACTGATGATGTGACATCGACTTATTGAAAGGCTACGCAATGGCGTCTTCCATCAACCGACACCCACCCCCATTGTACGACCCAGATCGAAGACGAGCTCACCAAAAAATGATCGCTGAAACGAAGAAGAAAATCAATGGCAAACCAAATAGAAGATTGAAGGCCAAATTGAAGAAGAACAATCTGCATGCATGCCGATGAAGAAGAAGATTGCAAGACTTGTAAATCATGTATGAGGATGGGTTACATAACACGCCCTATTTTCCTATTTCGATTTATGAATCCAGTTTGTGTTACAATTTTTTCATCAAACTTAAGTTGAGTTACAAATCCAAATTAAATATAAATAACAGATCCCGTTCAACTCACCAAACATGACCTTCACTGTCGTTGATGCTTCCGGCATCGGTTGTTCAGAGGTAGGATTCTCTCCTCTCTTTTTTTCCTCCCTTCTCTCCCTTCCTAGTTGAACTGGTCACGGTTAAGCTACGTGAACATATTATATTAATTTTGTATGAAAAAGAAAGAAAAAAAATAGAAAATATAAGAGAAGAAGATAAAAGAAGATGAAAATAAGAGAGAACAGAATCCTAGTCTCGGTTGTTCATTTCTCAACATAACTTTTCATGATTTCAAAATATGACTGAGCGTGAGTTCACAGGTGATACTGATAGCAACACCTAGCAGCAAACAAAATAAGTAAATATGAAAATCAAAGTAATTAAAAGGCTGGTTATTATTTTTATTTTTCTTGAAAAAGGTAACCAACTCCCAGTTTTCCCTTGGCCTCATGCTGCCTCCTGTCACTCTCCCACTGCCACAAACTCACGTTTCCTGTCTCTCGATCTCTGTCTCCGTCTCCAAAACTACTCCATTTCTTGTGATTTATAACCCCTCCATTTGGAGGCAAATATGATACTTTAATGGCAAATATTATCGTTATTTTCATAAATTTACATATTAAACTTTTTACCGTTATACAAGAAGAAATGAGTCGTGAATCGCTTCTCTTCCGTATACAGTACAAACAATAAAACAGAAAGCAAATTGAACTGCACTAACCCCAAGTGTATACAAATTAAATTAAATTACACAAACAATTAATTTACATTCCCTAATTGCCCCTTATTTCCAAGAGACTGAATACCAGTAAAGGAAACTCTCCCGAAACCCAGATGTCCAATCTGGTACAATTCTAACCACACCCTCTCCGCCTCCTGCCTGGCACCGTCGCACTCCATTTCCTCCTCGCCGCCCCCACCCCGCCATGAAATCTCGGGAACTTTCCCCTCCTCCTCCCCTCTCTCCACCACCCACTCGATCCCACGTTTACTACTCCTACCCCCCTTGCATTTCCTCCTTTTTTCCCGCTTTTGCCCCTTCTTTTTCCCCAATCCCAAGCACTTCCTCCCCACCATCCATGGCACTTTTACGAACGCTAGGGTCAAAAAGTTCACCAGCGCGCAGGGGCAGCAGCAGAGCGCCACGCAGTCCGCGATCAACGCGCCGCTGCACGACTTGCAGAACCTTCCTGTGCATTCAATCCGGTCCCCCGCGCCGTCGTCGACGGCGTACCCGTACCGGCTCTTCCGCGCGGGTGTCGTGGTGGGTCCCGCGGATGACGTGTGACTTTCTCCGCGATGGTCGGACGACCCGGACGATGATGACGACGACGACGACGAACTCCCGTGGTGGTTACGTGACGCCCGAGGCGGCTTATTCTCGTCCATTGGATTTCACCTGACCTGCAAAAGATGAGAGGTTTTATAAATTTCAACGGTGATGCGGAAGGAGCGTAGATTTTGATCCCAAGTTTCTAGGGAGGGGTCTTTCCTACTTGCTTATGCTTTATACTGGTACGTGGGAGGAGAGACGTGAAGAGATTATTCTTTTTCATGCATTTTTAACTTGTTAATTATAGGAGGGCAAAATGGTCCATAAAATTGTTTTGAAAGAGAGTTACATAAGCCCATCTCCAACTAGCCCGACCAAAGGACTGAATGACACAAAAATCGTCTCCAACTGATGATTAGGCCAAATACTTGTAGGCCCATCGGGCCAAAACTCTCAAATCATATCAACGGGCTGCCCATTTTCAGCCAACTAAACTAGAAGCCCATCAAGAGAGTAACTTACATAAACGATTTTTATTGACTCATACTATAACATCGTCAATAACATATCTTCATATGAAAATCAGTCGGGAGTTTAAATGTTGAGTCTAGTGGGTCACGTGAGTTTAATTCTTATAATAGAGCATGTTTATTAAACTTGCACTATTAGAACGATAGGTGTTATTGAGTCTTTTATAGTGGGTCGGAAAATTTGAGTTGGATACTATAAACAACAAACTCACATAGTAAATCATAATATTTGAGTCAATATGAGTGAGTGTGATTCCTAATTACAATATTTAGCACTCATGAGTTTGAATATTCTTATAAATTTCAACTCCCACAAATATTAAACTCACGCCATTGAAAAATATTGCTATAGGAGTTAAACTCATATGATCTAATTTCTTTATATAAGAATTAAACTCATAAAACCGACATCAGAAACAAAATCAAACTCAGGCAACTCGAATCCTATAAAGCACATCAGTAAGAATTAGGGTTTTGGGTTGAATGAACAGAGAGATTTTTTAGTGTGCCAAGTACACGGTGGATATACCACGTATCCTAATACAATTTATTATAAATTTTTATTATAACACTTAGTGTATTTAATCGTGTTTCTGACACATTAAAAAAATTATCGAATGAATGAATTAATGAATGAAAAAGGTTAAAAGGTGAGGTAGAAAATGGAATGGGAAGGAGGACGAGACAGAGACACGTCAGGCAGAGTCAGGGAGGGAGGCCCGAGTTTATGAATAAGTTTCCCTCAATGTGTTTTCGTGAGACGAATGATCACTCCATGTCTCATGCCTAATTCAGCTCTCGAACAATTTCTGCTCTGTCGTCCTATGATCCTATCCCATCCCTTCACTCACCTTCCACCAATCGATTGAACTTTTGACCAAAAAATAATAACTTCACCACACAAACGTTTACATCAAATTGTCTATACTTTACAAAGATAAGATATAAATAAAGATTTTTATAGTGCAATAAACAAAATAGCGTCATATCAGTGTTGTATGTAAAATTTGGTGAGAATAATGTACATCCTTATGCATTTAAGTTTGAATTATCGTTATATAGGTAAGCTAAACTAGTTTACAATACCACTTGTATAAAAAAAGAAACATACAAATGGTCTTGGAATTACCATCCTAGTCCCATTGTGCATCCACTCCTGAGCAAATCGGGAGACTTTTTATTGAAAAAACAACGATATTTACTAATAAAACTTTAAAAATACATCTAAGACGTGCACAAGAAATAACTGAACATTTACTCTAACATTTTTTTTGTGAAATGCACTTTGATATTTTGGTTGAGAACACATGCAAATGTTGGAAGGGAAACACACATGCCAAAAGCCATGTGAAAAAGCAAAAGTGGTCGGTCGCTTTACCCCAAAAAGACAATTGGATATTGAATAATTTTTGTTAGGGTGCAATTCGATTGGAAATGTTACCATAAAAGTGTGACAAATGCAAAGGTGGTGACATGCTACCAAATTTCTATCTGATGAAAGTTGTACTTCATTTTCTTAATGCACTGTCAAAATCAACACACATCAATTATCCATATTGTAGATTTGGGAAAAAAAAGTATCACCTACTTTGAAAGCATTATTAAATCTCGTGTTCTAATAAAATATTGTCAATTTGGTCCTAATTTTTAAGTTATAATCTATGGAAGTCACATGGGCCCTAAATTATGACCATGATTGAAAAAATAAAAATAATATAAACACTCAAAACTGATTATATTACTACCACATTAATATAGAGTTTTTCTTTAAAGAAAAGGGATCAGCTGGTGGCTGAGCATAGCAGTCCACTCTTCTGAGAGTCGAGAAGACTTATAGAGGTATTTCAGTCCTCCTCATGACAACTACTGTGTGATTTACATGCGCTAGGCTCTTTATGCCCACCCTCGTGCGATTCACGAGCGCTAGGAATCGAAGCTAGGGTGTGTCGTGTGAAATATGAGTTTGAAATTTGTCCCAAATCATTGGGCCACTTTGAAATGATTTTACATTTAATCGAGAAAAATCCTAATGCATCATTTATATGAGGTTCATTTTATTAAAGAATGTATCAGCAATGTCCGAAATAGTTTCATCCTTCCCAATTGCCAAGTCTAGAAAGCAGAAAGAATCATTTTGTAGCAAACAACGTTATTTGGGAGAGAATCTAATGTGAAAACCAAAAACGATGAGATGGGAATTTGTAGTTTTGTGGTGTTGAATGAGGGAAAAGTGGATTAAGAAAAAATTAATAATTAATTAAAACATGGAAAAGAACATTGGGAAGAAAGTAAAAAGTCATTAATCAAATTTAGAAAAAGATAGTATCACAATCATACAAATATAGTATATAGATATCCTAGTCATTATTAGCCAAATTAAAAACTTTTTAACCATTTGATTACTCTCAAAATCATTCCATTATTATCGATAATATTTTGTTAACGATGTATTAACTTATTAACTGATTAGCAATTTAACAATATCATGTATATGTGTGTAAAATTGAATAGTAGTGTAAAAAAAAAAAAAAAAAAAAAAAAAAGCCCCTCCTCTCAAAATTCAAACAGAAAGTCAAGACTTTCTTCACAAGCAGATGGACTTGCAATAAATAGGTTAGACATGAGTGGGACCGATCCGCAGTAAATCAGCCAATCACCAATTAGTAATTATAAAAGGTAATTAGATTGAGTGAAAGAAATCACTCACTAAGAAGCATTAGCAAATCATATGTCACATCACACTACTGGCTTGCAATTGCATGAATCGTCTAGCAATATCTAATCTACATTCCACAGTTTTTCTCCTTACCCGAGGTCGAGCGATAATCTAATCTAATCTAAATAATACTAAGAGGTTCAAACAGACATTCGTAATCTTAACTACAAGAAAATGGATGAATGAAATGAGCAATGCAAATGTATATTAAGGAAGTGAAAGAAAGAACTGACCTGGAGAAGCGGGGATCAAATCAAAGGTTGAGATTTAAGTCAAAGCTCGTGATCTTGGGTTGACTTTGGATGATTAAAAAGCTCGATCGTTGAAATACAATGTGGAGTGTGAATAATGAAAGATGAACAAGTTGGAAGTTCGATCTGATCTCAAACGCCCAGATTTTATATATAACCATCGCTTGCATATGTAACATCTGCAAGCAGAAGAAATAGGATCACACACACACACACTCTCTCTCTCTCTCTCTCTCTCTCTCTATTTTACAGTTTTACTCTCTTTCTCTCTCTAGCTCTCTCAGTCTCAGAGTCTGTGCTACTTTTAATCTATTTGTGAACTGACTTGTAAAACTTTGTTAACGGGAGCTGGCTTTTTGGCCTCCCATTTTTCATACATTTTTATCTATTTTTATTTGTGTGATCACAGTTAAATCATGTCAACATTTTATATTACTGTTGTCAGAAAAGTCAGCTCCTTGTTAACGAAAGCAGAAGATTTTCTTCTATATAAAACTCTGAGCAAAGCAGAATAAAAAAAAGAGGTAAAAAACGGTGCTCATGCATCACTCTTGAGAGAGAAAGATGTGTGAGAGGGAGAGATGGGGTAGAGAAGAGAAATTTTTAGTTGTGACGGGAATATAAGTGGTACACCACTTGTTTTAATAAGAATGGTAAGAAATTTTATTTTTTAAATTATTAACTTTTTAGCATACATATCTCACTATTTGTACACGTAGTATACTACCTCCGTCTACCAATCACATTCAAAAATATCTCGGAGAGAGGAGAGAGAGTGAGGGCTTCGGCATTGGTTTTCATGAGTACCGATGACAGCAAATATAGGGAACTGTTCCTCATCTACCCTGCTCTCTGCTGCCCTAAACATCTCCGTTTATTCCTCCATTACGGTCAGTTTGGGATTACCTTCCTAAAAAAAAAACTTTTACTCATAAGCGATTATATTATAAGTGTTTTTTTTTTTTTTTGGTCAAAAGCACGTCAAATCTAGTTGCTTCTTGCATCCAAAAACGTTTTCAAATTTTTTGTCCTAAATGTTGTTAGGGATTGTTCGAAACTGCTTCTTCTAAAAACGTATATTTCAGAATTCTAGCCTTTTGAATGCTTTAATCTTCTCCCATCTCAGAAGAATTTATAAGGGATAAAAATACAATAAACTTAGTACCCAAGACAAGTGAATCTTAAGCAAAATACTTACAAAATAATCAAGACCTTAAGAAAATAAAATAAATTTCCTAATTCAGCAATCTCGTAATAATTTTCTTTTTCGATTTTTCAACACTCCCTCAAACTCACGATGCATCATCATGAATGAATTTTCCAAATATAAGACGGGCTAATCTTAGAAATAGTAATTAAACAAATCGCTAATTTTAACAAATTTTGTGAAAAGTGCATTTGCTAGAAGTGATTTAAAATTTGATCATGTAAATTTGTTACTTTTGTGTGAAACTCATGATTCTTTATGTTTCAAACTCCCAACTTGATTAATTAAATAAATTCAAAAAAGTGAACTGTTATGACGAAATTACCATCTGAACACTTTTTTACAAAAAAAACGAAAAAAATTAAACAAATTTGAATTACTAATATGTTTGACCGGCATACGGCTGTCAATTTTCAAGCAAGGCCTTGTTAGCTGTCACACGACCCACCAGCTACATATAGATTGATAAATTGGTACTCAAAATTATTAACCAAATAATAATCTTTGTTTTTTTGTTGTTAAAATAAATAAATAAATAAATAGTAATCATGATCACCACAATGCATGTCGACAATATGGTCATCTCTCCCATATCCGGTTGGGTTGACTCACGAGTAGTCATGGGCCCTTTGTTAAAATTGTGCTCTACTTTATAAATTAATTAACATTTAACAACCATATCTGAACTACAACTGATGACTCAGTGATTGGAACGAATTTCAAATTTGTATTATACACAATGAGTCTTCATGTGCCCTAAAAAGGTGAACTATCACCACTAGGATTTTTTTTTTGGGGGGGAGGGGGGGGGTGAGGGTCACAATTTTTTTTGACAGTATAACATGAAAAGTAGCATTTCATCGAGCTTTGGTAAACTTGAGGTTATTTGTCAAATCATATTGCATGCATGGCGACATATGTGAACAACTTTCGAATGAGCATGTTGATTAATGTCAATAGCTTTTGAGCAAGAATACAGATCGAAAGATGCTTATAGCAAAAGCATACAAATGCATGAGGCTAGTAGCTGCCCTACTTAGTGCCTATAAAGGCAATAGGTGAATAATTGGAGAGTAGCTTTTAAGGGTACCTCAGATTTTCAAATGGCAGTACCCAGTTCTTCCACAGAAAATCTTTGAGTTTGAAAAGCCAATTGACCCACCTTGTCCCAAAGTGAATTCGCATCTGACTACCGTGTCTTCGCCTCTTCGCCACCCGTTAACCTCCTAAAAAAGCAACCATATCTGCTTCTGTACTGTCCTTAATCTAAGAAAATGCTGCCGGCGTTCAGCGGCCTCAAATTAGAAAAAAAAGGAATGGGTGGCAAAAAGCTGCATGAAAAGCATTCATGGAAGGGCTCATCGTTGGTAATTTGTATAAGAGGAGACAAGGCAAAAGCTCTCGAGGGGTTAGTAGTAGTATACCACTTTTTACCTGTACGTACGTGCATCATGTGCAACGGTAAAGATATTGGAACATGGGAGTCCACGCATGTTAATTACATCGAGAGAAATAAATCAGTTGCTAAACTCTCCTTGGAGATTGCTTGACTACTAAACAATTGAGAAAATCTCTTCCTAGACCCCTCATATTTTATTTTATTTTAAAAGAGAACAGTTGGTGGCAAGTGATAGTTATCCATCCATTCCGGTAGCCGGAAGATTCATAGAGACATTTCAACCTCCTTCTGGTCACAAATCTGGCTTCTACACCAGTAGCGGGTTTCGTACCACTCACTAACCGGAGCAATCATTTAAATATCTGTTTCCATTCATTCCTCTCACTTACAAGTGATGATCACTAGATCGTAGTACTAAGTGATACTCGTTTGTTAATTTAGCAAGGAAGCATAGGCCCATAGAAAATGGGCTGAATTTACTAATCCAGTAGGGATTTTTAACGCCAATTGTGGTCTCACCTAAGTGTTAACCCTAAAGGCCCAAAAAGAAAAACTTATAAAACGCCGCAACCAATGACATCTCAAACACATTCCGAAAACCCTAACCTCACTCTTTTATTTCTTGCTCGCAGCTTTTTTTCTTCTGGGTTTTGCTTCTTCTCTCGGTTTTGGTTTTTGAGTGGTCAAATTTAATATATTTTTGGTGTTGTGGTAATATGTTTGTGTTTGTGTGTGTGTGTGTGTGTGTATGTGGTGTGTGTGTTGATACGGCAAAGATGAAGAGTGCTTTAAATTTCTGACACCTCTTGTATGAGAAGTGCCTGTAAAAGGGCTTTTCGCTGAGCACTGTTAGCAACTCTCTGAGCCTCCCTCTTCCCCCTGTCTCTTTTTTTTTTTTTTTTTTTTTTTTTTCATTTATAAATTTTCTTTTATCAATTTGCCCAAAATTTATCTGAAAACATGTTATTTAGTTTAGTTTCGTTCAATATTGTGTTCTCTGAAAATCTGTATAAAATCCAGAATTTGGGTCCTAATTCTTCAATGTTGAAGTAATTGACTTTATAGAAACAATAGTTTTGGGCATAATACTTGTACGGAGGCTTTTAAGGGAAGTGAGATTCCCATTTTGTTTCAAAATAGAGACGACCACATTGAACTTTGACGATCAAAACCGTCTATTTTTCATTTTTCAATTTGCATCTCTTGGATATTCTTGCAAAATATTAATCAAATTGAAAATATTTAATTGATTCTACAATTATAAAAAGTAATAAATTTTAATGTAATAATTAAATAGACAAATAATTTTGAATTAAATTGAACTTTTGTAATAATGATTTATAAATTAAATAGTTTGAATTGTTGAAACTGTAGGATGAGCTCCATATCGAATCCCACTTTTGTCCCTGTAATTTTCTGTTAATTTTTCCTTTGCACTTGTATTTTTGTCTTTTTTTTAACAATTTAGTATAACAACGGGACGAATTCTAATTGAAATGCCGAATTTGTTTATGAATTGTAACAGCAATGTACTCTTCCCGTCAAAAGATTTGTAAGCTTCTTGTTCGACAATTCGAATCGATTCTGGACAACGTTAGAGCCGCCGTTGCCCAGAATCTTGTTCTTCGACATGCCCGTCTCCTCCGCTAACTTCTCGGCCTCCTCTTCTTCGTCAATGACTCGATCGAACCAGATGTATCTGCCAAACGCTGACATTGCCTCAAACACGCCTACATGTGCCTCTGCCAGTCTTGTTATATCCACTGTGGCTAGCACTCCGCTTTGGTACATTTCTTGCGCTCCTGTGTTTACACAACCAAAATTAGTAAAAATTACAAGGGAACAAGTGGATTTTGACTCATAACAAAATTGTGAGATAGGATCCTCGTCGGATTCTCTTTGTGAGAATCTCGAGATTTTTTAATCTTGTCCGTTTATCGTACATCGTACGGTCAGTTTTCGTTAGGTATTGTTTGTGTTTAATTTTAAATAATATAATTTAAAATAATTTCTGATCGTAAGATGTACGATGAAATGACAAAATTAAAGGATTTCCAGAATCCTCACAAAGAAGATATGGTAAGGATCCTATCTCCAAAATTTTAACACACTTGGGCGGGTTTGAGCATCGCTTGAGGAGGTGGTGCTCAATGGGGCCATAGCGCTCGAGTGGAGCAGAGAGCCCCATGGGCTTGCTTCTTCTTATAGTGGCATTACGATCTGGTGACATTTCTTCACTTATAATTTGGATATTGTTAGACCCATTTGATTTGACTTACCATGTATAACGAGTTTGATATCAAATTTTTAGAAAACAAAAAAGGTGGGAACGAATAAATACCTTTGAGATATGAAAGAGTTGCGGTTGGATTTTTAGTGGAAATTTCAGGGCCGGTAATGAGGGCCGGGCAGATGGTGGTCAACTTCAATCCCTTTTCCTCAGCTATTTTCCATGCAGCTTTCTCTGCCCTCAGCTTGCCCAATGCATACCAGAGCTACCATTTCCAAATCAAACTTTAAAAAAAATTACTAATGATAATCATCCTTGTGATTAGCATAGAAATGTTATTGTGTAATTACTATTGTTCTAAAAATTCCTGCTTAAGCGCTAGATGATTGGCC